CTCGCTCTGAGGCGTTCCATTTAAGGCTTGAAGTGCAAGCGAGAGCGCGGAACGAGCGACAAAGAGGCACAATCGGCCTCCGCGTTCGGCAGCGTTCGACATCTGTCTCTCTTTTACTTGAGTGAGCGATGCGTCCGCGTGGACAGCTGCTATACAATAATACATTTCCATTTACCTCTTTCTCTATATCCATACACAATATCTATCAAACAAATAAAATTAAAATTTTCTTTTGAAAAAATGAAACCATTTAATCAGTATTTTCTTATGAGGTTGTCACGTTCAACTATCGTCAGTAAACCGACTTTACAGACAACCGATTTTTGTTTAATCACACTTGTTGTTGCTCAGGTTGTTAATATTTAAATACGTAGTTACAATCCTTTTAAGATTAGAGTTGGCGGTTTTGCGATTGATGTAGGAAAATTGACTAGTTTAAGTTAAGGCTTTTACTAATTGCTAAAACGTAATCCGTTAAGTATCTGTCTACAGCTTTTCATCTAAGTTGGACAGGTAAAGTTACTATAAAGCTCAATACAGAAAAGTTATTGAAGCAAGCATCCCTTAATTCAGATTAGATTACGCTCTAAGTAGCAACGATGTGTAATAATGATAACTTTCAATAAATGTCTACACTTATGGGGTTCAACTTTGTACCTAATGGAGACCACTGTTGAAAAAACCCTGAAGGTATGATTCCAAACACGGGTACAGACTGCAAAACCGCAGGTCACAGACCTTTCAGACACTTCGTTTAAAATAACTGCAAGATTAATGGAGCTGCTGTCTGCCTTTGTAGTCGGTAGTTGCGGTCATTTTTGAACTCACTGACCGAGCGGCATGACCTAGAGAAGCGGTTTCCAATTTTTGTTTTGCTACGGAACCCTTTTTGACCAACTCTTTTTTAGCGGAACCCCATCTTCAAAAAAGTAATCTGCTATTAATTTTATGCTTAAGACCTCTATAAGTTGATACAAACCGAAATAGGAACCATGACAAGAACCTTCTCAACAACTGCAGGATTTCAGGATTTTTATCTTTAAGTTCGATTCAAAAGTTATTCAAATTTGAATCAGCTTACAAAGATTTTTGTTTTAGAGAGGTTTTTTAATATCGATCAAGTTCTCATACTGCGACACAGTTAACATTGATGGTATAGTCTGATTTACGAATGGGTCCTGTATGCAGTAGCGATTCTGTAACCCCTCTGGAAAATATTCTTTCAAGGATTTTTTTGAGGTTCAACAGTAGTTCATTTATGGTTTTATTCACATATAATGAGGTTAATTGTAACTCATTTTCTTAGAAAAATCTGTTTAGAAGACGAAAAAATTCATAGGTAACTTTTTGTTCAATGCATTCCATCCAGAAGCCAAATTTGTTTTTTTTTGTCGTTGGAGATATTTTGTATCTCACTGTAAATGTGGTTGTGGTTACTCACTGTAAGGACCTACTGTTTACGTTGAGTTTATCGAATACCTATACCTATCGACCAAATAAGCCATTTTTATTATCCATTTCTCATCATGCAATAGTTCGACATGACTAATTATTGTAACAATTTGTTGTCTAATTCTTCCTTTCGAAAGCCATATCACTTCCGTGTGTAGAAGGAGTGATGGGTCCTGACGTCCGATATCGTCTCGCGGAACCCCTGCGACTCTTCCACGGAACAGCAGGATTTCGCGGAACACCATTTGGGAACCTATGACCTAGATGGTAAGACCATTGCTTAGCCTACGAGACATCGGCTGCCGCTTGCCTCGGTCCAAGTTTTTCTGGCAAATGCTGGAGCAGTCATATTCCACAGATAATCTTTCACATCTCTTCTGTCTTCATTTTATCCGTCTCATCTCTCATCCCAGTAACCACCACCACTACACTAATTCTCGCGATTCCTAAGAGAAGGCTGAAGAGGGACTGTCTACCCACCAACATTAGTAGCTGGTAGGTTAGGTTTGGTAGGATTGAAACACCCAAAGGTTTTACTGTAATCCATTGTTCACGGTCAGTGCCTCAAACAACTCATGCCGAGAGCCTCAATTACGAGCGTTTCTATCAACATGATAGATAGATTCCAAGTAACAATAGAATATTTACTTCAATAATGATTAGATGAGTTGTTTTTGTTACTATATGTGTATGTAATTCCTAATTTCGTTTTCTGTTTTCACCAGAATATGACTGGTTTCAGTCTCCGCGAAGGCATAAGAGCGGCTTGGGAATACCAAGGACGCTACATTACAGATGTGTTTACCGAAAAGGCGATCGATATTATCAATGATCACAACGACGAATCACCATTCTTTTTATTCCTCTCTCATTTGGCAGCCCATTCCAACGGGACTATTACCGAACCGAAGGACATCGAACAGGCTAATAAACGGTTCAATTATATCGAGTCCGAAGAGAGAAGATTGTTTGCTGGTAGAACTAATTCATTTTTTTTTTAACTTGGTCTCCCTCTCCCTCTAGTTTCATTAAAGCCACCTTGATGTTCATCGAGCAGAAATAACCGACGAGACAATTGAGACGGTTCCCGCCTGTCACGTAAGTTTTTTAAAAAAATAGCCGTCTGCGAAAAGTTGATAAGGTACACAATTAGGATACGAATTGTTTATTATTAGTTGAGGTCCTGTTTTCTATGAAAATACTAGTTGGTATTTTTTGTACTATTTTACGTAGGTAACGAGGGTGTAGGTGGTATTATAAAGTTACTCTTGTCTGAGGCTCTATAAGCGAACAGCTTAGTGGATTTACTTAGTGGTCTGACTTAAAAAATTATGGAAACTTCCAAAGTCGTTCATTAAAATATCCCCCATTAGTATCATCATCATCATAAGGTCATCAGTCTTAAGACTGGTTGGACACGTACCTCCACTCTTTCCTATCCTGAGTTAAACTTCGCATTTCCCTAAAACTAGAACAGCCCCCATCCTTAACTATTTGCGAAGAGTAATCTAATCTAGGTCTACCTCTACCCCTCCTAACTCCTGTTTCTGCCTCTAATATGTCTCTGACTAGACCTTCATGCCTGAGAAGGTGTCCTACCAACCTATCTCGCCTATTTTTTATTGTCCCCATTAGTATAGGAATTTTAAAATTTGTGGGCCGCGAAATGCGTGAGGGGTGGACTTTATTGCATTCATATATATATCTTGTAGTTTTCATTCTTCCACAGCTAGCGTATACCAATTGGATATTATTTTAGGGGCTGTTTTGTCATAATTCATAGAATATCGTAGTTCCTTCCTGATTTGGCAGGTGCTGATATCAATTGGGAACTTCAAAATTCCATGGACCATGACATTGAACCCAGAAAACAATATCGATCCAATATTTTAGATTATCCATTTCCAAGGAGTTTAGAATTTTTTAGGTTATTTTCAGTTAAAGAATTAGAGAGCATACATGGAATGTCTCTTTGTCCCCTTTTTACGCTTCTAATACAGTGGTTCCTAACCCTTTTAATATTGTTACCCCTGTTATCTATTAGGAAAACTGATTTTACCCCGACCTTAAAATGTTATCAATACAAACAATACTAGCAAATACAAATAGGTGGTGGCAAAGAGTATTGGCATTTTTAAAGCTATGTTAGCTAGAGCAGAATATTTGGCACCAGATTTTCGCCAAAATGTGCTAAAATTATCGTATAATTTTGAAATTCTACTCCGCAAGTAGTATCCTAGATGTTCTACTTTGGCCGCTACGTCTTCATTTTTAGTAATGATATCATCCGTAGTAAATCGTCTTAATATCCAAGAACTGGACCGACGATTATCCATATCCGGAAGATATTGCTTCATTGAGTTTATTGTTGCAGATAAATTCCGAAACACAGAATTTTCAAATGTAATCTTGTTTAGTTCGATATTTACCAATTGTGCATACAGTTGTATAAACATCGACACCATCTATAATTTTATACTTTTACTATCTAGCTATATTTTATCACATTAGGCCTTAATTATTAGATTCTTTGTTACCCCCACAGAATAATTGATTAGCCCCCGCGGGTGTAATTAGCTCCAGGTTCGGAATTACTGTTCTAATACCAAAAATGTATTTTGCATTTTACAAATAGAAAATACACTTGGAAAAGTATTTTAAAGAAAATACAAAATGCTTTTCTCAAAAAAATATTGAAATGCAAGATAAAAATAGGTTAAAATAAAATAATTCGAAGTGGTCTGTATTCTATCGAAACTGCCAGACGCGGATCGCGATTTCGATCTCTTTGGAACTCATCATCGCGTCGCAGACAGCTTCAACAGAACACAGACCAACTTTTGCCTGCTATCTTAATAGCGCGTTTTAGAAAATACCACAAATGGCGTGGTAAACGCCATCTGTAGTACGATGCAACATTTTAGGATTACGTATTCTCCAACAAGGTCCATTTAAATATATGGATATCCACTTGCTGAATCCCGGCGTAGCTAACCTCAACGTGATAGGCACGTTACCATAATCGAATAAAAATAGGTATATTTTATTTTATATACTCCACTCTGGTCATGACCCACGAAATTCTAAACTAGTGCTATATATATTGCCTACATTTACTTTCCGGAATTAATATATTGTGGAATTTTTCCAAGGAAATTTCCATAAATTATCGTTAGCTAGACCATAATTTATTTATATTTTTCGTGTTTTATTTGTGATTTCTACTTTCGATTTATTTTATTTACGTTTCTGTTGTTTTTCCTTTAAAAGTTGATGGCAAATGTGAAAGGCGTGAGGTATATGCATAAGCAGTGACAGACGTAAAATATATATATTGCTAAGCATTCTTACCGTTCAATTGGGATAATGGTTGTTGGGATAGGGGGGCCGAAACATTTTTCTTGTCTGTAATTTAGATTTATTAAAGTAAAATGTGACTTTTGGGGTATTTGTAATTTTTTTTTGGCGTGTCACTCCTGTGAAAACGTGGCGTAGGTTTAGGTCAACGAAAGAGGATATTTGTAACAGGAACGAACAAATCCAGCAATTTTTAATTTCCCTTCTGACGATGATAAATGTATTCTGAAAGCTGCTTGCTTACCTTTCACTTGTAAGGGAGATATTAGGCCGTTAGTGTAGTAAGAATAATGACGTAAAAAGGAGACCTGGATATTTCAAATGTTGGAGATTAAATTTCGTGCAGAACAAACAATGAAATTGCTTCAGGAAAAACGTTGCCAACTGGTGATGAATATTACCTAAAAAAAAAACAGCTTCCTTTCGAAATTTTTCATTTTTAATGGCCAAATCCTCTTTGTAGAGATTTATTATATTAGTATAGTACATCGTTTCACAAGAAACTTCAAAGATTTCGCAGATAAAAGAGACGATATCAGCTTTGTTGTATAGACACACGTACATAGATATATATATATATATAATGTTTATATTCATTACAAAAGATAGTATTTAAGACCATTAGGGTAGAATGAGAAGATAAAATACTTTTTCAAAAAGAACCTTTCAAATTAAAATTCCATTGTAATGGTGACTTTGTACTCATAAGGAACATTAATTTCTTGGACATGTAGATCAAGATGTCGAATTTATTCGTTCTCATTAGCACATCATAGACAGTTTTGACAGATAACTAGCCAAGGGCTTAATGATATTTGAACTGATGCTATTCTGATTCGGGTATAAGGGTTGCGTCCAGCATCGAAAACAGCTGAAGAAGTTCGCCACATGTGCTAGCGAAACGTTAGGAAGCAACTGCAACACACAACGACCTTTAGAACTAAATCAGGAAAGCATCAGTCTACCAATTGGCAGAGAAAGCATTTATCGATTTATTAAAGATCTTTATTCAGCAAATACCACTGTAGTTAGAAGTAAATATCAGTAGATGGCGACATACTGTCCATAACTCGCTAGTAGCTTTTGTTTTAACGTAATTGAAGCCCAAGTGATATAACTAAGTGTCCCTAGAGGGGAGGGAAACGCAAAATGTTTGAATATGGTGCTATATTTAAATTAAAACATTTTAGATGTTGTAACTGACTTGGACAGATCAGTTGGTGAAGTTGTGAATGCTTTGGAGTATAACGGAATTCTTGAGAACACTATAATCCTTTTATTCATGGACAATGGAGCTGAAGTAAGAGGCTATTATCCAAATGGAGGTTCCAACTGGCCACTTAGAGGTGTACGTTTAACCTTACTAACTTAGTTGTTCAAAAACGCTTCATTTTGAGTTTTTGGCGTTTTCTTTTAGCAAAAATATACCTTGTTTGAAGGAGGAGTTAGAGGTACAGCTGTTTTATACAGTTCGAAGATATCTAATCGATCTGTTATCAGCAATGAGCTTATGCATGTAACTGACGTATTTCCAACACTTTATGAAGCTGCCGGTAACAAAAGAGCATTTGGTTGATTGCTGTTGCCAAAAATCAATTTGGTTTCAGGCGGAGATGTAAATACATTAGGTAATTTGGATGGGGTGAGTCAGTGGGAGACCTTGACTAAAACCAAACCTTCTCCTAGAAATGAAATTTTAATAAACATAGACGAAGTGAATGGCACAAGTGCCATTATTGGTTATGGAGGAAAATACAAACTTGTAAATGGTAGGTCAATCTATGTTTTAATTAAGCAACTGCTAGTTATACAAAAAGCTCTTGACAATGTTAAATGGGACAAGATGTTAAATATAATTAAAAATGTAGGGATGAGTTACAAAGATGGAAGAGGGATACTTAGTTTGTATAAAGAACAGCAAGCAGTTATAGAGATAGGGTTGAAACGTAGAGAAGTAAATATTAGGAAGGGAGTCATACAAGGATGCACACTGTCACCGCTACTTTTTAATCTGCAGGGATAGATATAGAGGGACAAAAGATTAGTATGTTTGGTTTTGCGGTTGTTTTAGCAGTATTAGTATTTGGCAAGGAGGAGTTAGAGATAGCTTTAAATAAAATGGAAGCGGTACTGACATATTAGTACTGTATGAAAATAAATAAAAGTAAAACTAAAATACTGGTATGCAAGGGAAGAAAAGGTAGGGAAAGAGTGAATATAAAGATAGGAGACGAAGAATTAGAAGAAGTGGCTGATTTTAGATATCTAGGAAGTCAGATAAGTCAGAACGGAAGGAGTAGTAAGAATATAAAGCAGAGGATAGCGCAGGGTCGAGTCACCTTCAATAAAAAGAAGTCAATTCGAAAAAGGTTGTTAAAGGTGTATGTTTGGAGCGCGGCGTTGTACGGGTGCGAAATATGGACAGTGGGCGCGGCGAAAAAAAAGGTTAGAAGCGTTCGAAATGTGGTGTTATAGGCGAATGATGACGATAACGTGGATAGAAAAGGTTAGAAATGAAGAGGTATTAGAAAGAATAGGAGAACAGAGGACTCTATGGAAGTCAATAAGAAATAGGCGAGATAGGCTAGTAGAACACCTTCTCAGGCACGAAGGTCTAGCCAGAGACATATTAGAGGCAGAAACAGGAGTTAGGAGGGGTAGAGGTAGACCTAGATTAGATTACTGTTCGCAAACAGTTAAGGATGTGGGTTGTTCTAGTTTTAGGGAAATGCGAAGTTTAGCTCAGGATAGGTAAAAATGGAGGTACGTGTCCAACCAGTCTTAGGACTGACGACCTTATGATGATGATGATTTTAGTTATACGATGTGCATATTTCCAGGTACATTTTTGAATGGTAGTATGGACGTATACTTCGGGCCTTCAGGTCGTGGACAGCAAAGCAATTCTGAGTACAATTTCACCGAAATATTGGAGAGTAGAACGAACAGAGCTTTTCAATCTGCACGTTTGGAATCTCTGACTGAAAGTGAAATAGCAGAGTTGCGACAGAAATTGAATTTAGAAAATTGTAGAGACTTAGTTGAAACAATCGTGGATTGCACGGAACTTTGCTTATTTGATCTTCAGCAAGATCCTTGTGAAACAGTCGATATTAAGGAATCTTATCCTGAAATAGTTCAAAACCTGAGTTCACAGGTGGAGCAGTACTGGAGGGAAATCGTACTACAGCCAGGGCGTTATGTTGACCCTAACGCTAATCCCGACAGATGTTCCAATTCCTGGTTTCCTTGGTTGGATGAACATTACGAGATCTACTGTACAATATGATATTCTATGATGCTCTGATTATTGCAATTTATATTTTCTATATTTGTTGTACTTGTACATATTTTGTTCAAATTAAACCGATTTTTATGCGATAACTAACCTATTGGTTTCACATTGGAATGAATAACTTACAACTCTCATTAGTGTTGATACTCCATTCATATAGATAATATATCATCATCATAAGGTCGTCATTCCTAAGACTGGTTGGATACCCACCTCCACTCTTTCCTATCCTAAGAAAAACTAGAACATCCCACATCCTTAACTATTTGCGAAAAGTAATCTAATCTAGGTCTACCTCTAGAGCTTTTTAATGCTACATTGAACTCTTCTGTCATTATGAGATAACCTAAATATTCTTTCCACTTATCTGCCTTTTCTTCATTTTCTATCAAAATGACCCCTACCTCGTTTTTTATATTATTACTATTGTACCCTACTTCTTTAGAATTCCTTTTAATTATATTATAAGCCTCAACGGTTTCACCTACTTCAAACTTTTCTTCTACTTCTTTAAAGACCTTTTGTCAATCTACTGTTCCTTAACTGCCTACATAGAGGAAAAATTATAATTGCAATATGCGTTCAATATAAGCAACTTCTTGTAACATAGGTATGTATAAAATAATTAATTTAGTGACGCAAACAACTGATTACAATACAAATTCAATAATTTGCTACACGTTTAGCATATAACCGTTACAGTACAAATTTTTTAGTTGGTAACTCACTGTAAGCCAGTTTTTGTCCGTGTGGAGTTTACATAAAGGTTGAATTTGTTTACTTCGAATTTTCGTACTTATGTTTTATTCTTTATTTTACCTTTGAATGTTCGCGACATGTGTAAACAACTTCAAGGACAATTCGTTGACGAGTGTCTAAGGAAGGAAAGATCCTACAGTTTATTGTCGCGTCTATGAATCAGAATATGACTATTCACGGCACTTCTCCAGGGCAGACGCGAAATGACGTTTTCGGGAAAACAGAAATTATTATGTTTTACTCCCACCATCAAAAGTCGACCTACATCGTATGTAATTTGGTGAGTAGAGAAGAATGCTTTCTTTAGAATTCTTTATTAAAAATCTTGGGAATAGGTGGGTGGTGGCGGTTAGGGAGAAGTAGACAAGACGGGCGAGTTGAAGACTACAGAAGAATGAGACTTATATGTAGAATATTAGTTCCCCAAGAATATTTACCAATAAGAATCAAAATAAATTCAGAATAGCAGGGAGATCCGAAACCGGATCATCATCTTCTCAATTGTTGGGTTAGGTTCTATCATCCCGCTCTGTGGTGCTCTTGATGCGTGTGAGTGCCTTTCAATATAGGCCTGAGATGAATACAAGACATTTCTTGATTGGTGAGTCAGTTGGTCTGTCATGCGAAACGCGAGCGACCTTCTTTGGCTACCATTTTAAAAACCCGATGGCGATCACCGTTGGATTTTCCCGTGATGCTCTTGATGGGTTTAGGTATCTCTCAATCCAACCCTGTGTTGAATGCGTGACGATTCTTGATCCTTGTTATGCGAAATACGAGCGCCTCCCTTTGGCTATCATTTTAAAAATTGGATCGCCAACTTGTCATTTGTAAGGCTAGGTTAGGTTAGATCATTCTGCTCTATGATCAGTGTGGGTGCCTCTCAATACAGCCCTGGGATTGCTCATGCTTGTCTTAATATACAGAACATACAAAGTCCAAGTTTTGGATATGGTTCATAATATGTTATTCCTCAAGTAGTCGAGACACAGACGCCCTAGAAAAGGGGTTGGATCATGTGAAGAGTAAGGGGGGGGGGGCAAGAATCCTATCTGCTCACATCTGGCACTGCTCAAAGTTTTAAAAGCACTGACACAGAAAATTAGTTATGAATGTTAAGAGAAATTTCAGGAACTTGTAATTAGTATCCATATATATATATATATGTATGCCACCAAAACCTTGGCAGATGATGTTTATAAAATCGAATAGGGTACATTTTATTTGTTGATGAACAAAGTTTTCTGCTTAAAAAGCATTTCAATGGAGAAAATTCATTTGCTATGTTAATGTAGTAGCATATTAGTGGATGTTGTGCAGTAATGAATGTTTACGTAATTGGACTCTGTGGGGTAAACGGGTTAAAAGCAGTTCTGTGTTTTAGAAACAGCTGCTAGAAACGACGACGCAGATATACAAAACGTATTTTCTCGTTTTTAAGATAATTATTGTCCCAGAATTGCGAGGCCGTCCTATTACCAACAGGTGAAGAGTCTAATGGTAGCATTTGCGTTGTTGTGTTTGCTATTAGGCCTGAAGTGGCCTTCTTTTCCTCTTACGGCTGAGACCGTTTCCCCGTACAGTTGGAAAACGCTAAAACAATAAGTTCTGCTCACGTCTAAATGGATTACCGCGAACTAGATTAATGACTGCAATATTTCGAGAAAGAGAGAGAGAGAGAGATATTGCTAGACTAAGAGAGACAATTGCTAAATGTAATACTTTACGACAACGGAGAGAGCGTTGTTTAATGTTTTTCAGGGACTGGTGGTTTATTTTTAAGTACTAGACGATTTATTGTTGCATTACATTCCACGTATTGCCATAACGTTCTTTCGTTTGGCTCTAAGCCCAGTTACGTCGCAATTGAAAAAGTTATTTCCTCATGCAGTTATGTAGGTATACGGGTGGAGTTATACTTTTATTTACATACTGATGTATATACAATTATGTATTTATTTCAACAACTAGACCTACGACTGACTAGACACCCACCTCCACTCTTTCCTATCCTGAGCTAATCTTAGCATTTTCCTAAAACTAGAACAACCCACATCTTTAACTATTTGCGAACAGTAATCTAATCTAGGTCTACCTCTAGAGTTTATTAATGCTAACATTAACTCTTCCGTCATTATGGGATAACCTAGCTCCACTATCTCCCCACTATCTTCCTTCTCAAATATATTTCCTAACTCATTGTCTGCGTATGGGTTCTCTAAATATTCTTTCCACCTATCTCCCTTTTCTTCATTTTCTATTTCTAATCTACCTCTACCTTTCCTAACTCCTATTTCTGTCTCTAATGTGTCTATGACTAGACCATCATAACTTAGAAGATGTTCTGCCAACCTATCTCGCCTATTTCTTATTGACTTCCATAGAGTCCTCTGTTCTCCTATTCTTTCTAATACCTCTTCATTTCTAACCTTCTCTACCCATGGCATCCTGTTCATTCGCCGCATTTCGAACGCCTTCAACCTTTTCGCCGCACTCCAAACATACACCTTTAGCAATCTCTTTCGAATTTCTAAATTAATTGTTCGCTAGCATAGAAGTGCCTGCTATTCGTTCCATCCTGACTTCCTAGATAACTAAAATCAGTCACTTCTTCTAATTTTCTGTTTCCTACCTCTGTATTCGCTCTTTCCCTAATCTTTCTTTCTATGCATACCAGTAATTTTTTTACTTTTATTGATTTTCATACAATACTGTTTTGTCAATACCGCTTCCATTTAAAGCTACTCTCTAACTCCTCCTTGCTAGATGCTACTACTGCTATATCATCTACAAATCTAAGCATATTAATCCTTTGCCCTTGTATAACTGTCCCTACAGTTGTACTGCCTTTAGTGATGTTGATCGCGTCTTCGATATATAGATTAAAAAAGAACTTTCTACTATTACATAGCATGGTAAAAGTTTACTCTAAATATGTCGAAAGGAGTAATCGATTTTCACATTAAAGTATGGATTAGAATTAGATTAATACGGTTTTATAATTGTGTCTTAAGAAAGAGATCCTTCTGATAGTCTGATACAGAACTTCATTCTTTAATTTGTTATTTCTTTAGTAAATTTATTAGTATAAAATAATGATGCAATTTGACGATACTTTCGTTTTCGTCTTCAAAGGTCTCATAGCCGCTCATCTGCTTTCCGATCATTTTTCCCAATTGCGCTCATATTTTCCTTTATTATTTTGTATCTGTCAGTAAAATTTTTCTAGCATATACATGTAAATACTTATACGTCAACAACTACTTATGCACATGTATGTTATCGATTGTATTATGAAAATTCTGGACATCGCCATTTAGGTAACTGAGTAGATACAATCCTGGCAAACACCTTGCGTTTTTTTTTTGGTTTTTCTTAGCGAATTTAACGAGTGTAATAAATCGAGGTGTAAGAACGTTTCTTACCGATTTTTTTGACACTTTAATTTTGCGTGAGGTGAGCCCACGACAGGTGTGTATTATCGGATGTGGCCATCCATCTCTCGGGTCGACTGAACAGCGCGCCGCCGTCGATGGTGGTGTTAAACGAAAGTACCTTCCGTGGTGCTGCTACTCCCCCGTTTGGTCTGGCGGTGTAAAACCTTGTCATGCTAAATTACTCGCGATTCGTCTTGATATTGTCAGGAAATGTGTACCTACTTTGGGATATGGTCTCACGTGCGCTCCCAGCGTGTGGACGGACATCTATCGTGCGATCTGTTGCCGGACCACTTAGGACGATTTACGAAAGTGTCAAACCTTAAAAATGGAACGACAAATGGAGTTCGAGAACTTTAAACGTGAGAGACGATGGATTGGTTTTTTTTGTGGATGCTTTATGGACCGGATCCATCCCTTTCGGTACGTATACACAAGAGTGAGACGTGCTTTGATTTTTCTAACAGCCAGGTTCTAAAAACGTGCACGACGAAATCGATACTGTGGAATCGTCAGCGGGATGAAGTTCCCGGACGGACGGGAAGAAAATGTTACAGATAACCGTCTTCAAGGTTGATTTTTTTGCTAGATATTGTTGGAAAAACTGTCTAAAGGACGTTAGATATACTTATACAGAAAAAGCTTTGAATGGAAGTTTCAATTCTCAAATATTGAAGAATTCATTGCTGTCCAAATGTTTAACTGTTAGTTCGAGTTGTTCTCTTTTACGAGGGTGAATTATAAAGTTCGCGCCTGAACGAGAAAACAAAATCAGAAGATTTTCTTTCTTAATACACTTCACTTACATAGTATAAAACAAAGTCGCTTTTCCGCTGTCTGTCCCTATGTATGCTTAAATCCTTAAAACTGCGCAACGGATTTTGATGCGATTTTTTT